TAAAAATGTATTTATATATATATATAAAAGAAAAAATATCAGTGAAGGAGGTAATGGAGGTCATAAAAAGGCAAAAAAATGATAAGACCCTGGGTCCAGATGGGCTACCTGCAGAGTTTTATAAATGCCTACACAATACATTAAGCCCATTAATGAAAGAACTATGTAATGAGGTACTTTTAGAGGCTAAAATACCAAATACTTGGACAGAACCTAATATTACTTTAATACCCAAAGAAGACACAGACTTGACACAGATAAAAAAATTATAGACCAATATCTCTATTTAAATGTGGATTATAAAATTTTTGCTTCAATAATAGCATAAAGATTAAAGAGATTCTGATTGAATTAATACATACAGACCAAAATGGATTTTTACCTAAGAGACAAATAAAAAACAATTTAAGAATGATTTTAGACACCTTGGAATACTATGAAATGCACCCATGGAAGCAGATAACACTAATATTCCTAGATGCACAAAAGGCTTTTGATAACGTAAACTGGCAATTCATGATTCAATAACTAAATGAAATGGATTTTGGAGAAAACTTTATAAATACAATTAAAACAATCTATCATAGACAAATAGCTAAAATAGTCATAAATGGAGATTTTACAGAAAATTTAAACATTAAAAAGGCACAAGCCAAGGATGTCCATTATCCCCATTATTATTTATATTAACATTGGAAGTTTTAAATAGAAATATTAGGCAAGACTCAGAAATTAAAGGAATGAAGATAAAATATGAAAAATATAAACTACAAGCATTTGTGGATGACTTGGTTTTCATATTAGAAGATCCCCAAACTTCTGAAAAAGGTAGAAGAATTTGGAGAAGTGGCAGGACTGAAAATAAATAGAGAAAAGACCAAAGTGATAAACAAATACCTTACAGATAAACAAAAAAATCAATAGTAAGAAAAAACAGATCTTCAACTAGTTAAGAAAGTTAAATACTTGGGGATATACTTAACAGCAAGATGTGCAACAATAAAAGAAGACAACTACGCAAAACTATTAAAACAAATAAAACTAGACCTGGATAAATGGAAAAACTTACAACTCTCAATGTTAGGGAGAATAGCTACTGTGAAAATGAATATCTTACCAAAATTACTCTTATTATTTCAAACAATATCTATAAAATTGGGGAAATTTTTTTTTAGATGAACTAAATACATTGATCTTGAAATTTATTTGGCAAGGAAAAAAAGCCAGAATTAGAATGAAAATGCAACAAGAAACGAAAGAAAATGGAGGATTTGGGCTGCCAGATTGGGCCCTATACTATCAAGCATCTGCACTAACATGGATGAAAGAATGGATAACCCTTAGACATAAAAGATTACTGTACCTAGAAGGGCCTACAACTTGGATGGCATGCCATATGGTATGGGAAGAATAAAATACATAGATTCAAAACCACTATAAGAAATGCACTTCTTTTAGAATGAGAAACGGTAAAAGCAAAAATTTACATCAAAATACCTGGATGGCTTTCAACAATGGAAGCGTTTGTTCACCCAAACCTAATTAACAATGAGCAAATTGTGACTTATAAAAAGAAGAACTAGACAAGAACTAGAAGAACAGGGCATTGATCTATCATGGTGGTCACACCTGCAAATTCAAATGGGATATGAAAAAGATGTTAAAACATCTGGATTCTATAAACAACAGACAATTTGACCAGATACTATTGGCATCAGATAAAAAATTGATTAAGAAACTGTGTAAGTACATGCTAAGTTTAAAGATGGATGAGGAACAAGTTAAAGAAACAATGATAACATGGGCAAAAAACTTTGGGCATAGCATAGAGCTAGAAAACTGGCAAAGACTTTGGGAAAGAAATTCTGAAATAACAAAGGTGGTGGCTTACAAAGAAAGCTTATATAATATGTTTTACAGATGGCACCACCTGTGAGATTAGCAAAATTGTTTAAAAATATGTATAGTAATTGTTGGAAATGTAGACAAAAACCAGGCACATATTATCATCTTTGGTGGACATGCCCTAAGACTAAAAGATTTTGATCAAAAATACATATATGGTTAGAGAAAATGACAAAAAAACCACGTAGATTTTAAGCCAGAATTATTTCTGTTAGGTATAATTGCAGGAAATTATGAGAAAGAATGTGTATATTTAATGTCACTTGTATTAACTGCAGCGAGAATTGTATTTGCTCAACATTGGAAAGATGAAGAATTACCAGCAAGGAAGAGTTAATCAGGAAAATTTTAGACTGTGCAGAAATGGACAGACTTACATTGAAAATGAAGGAGAAAGAAGATTCAGAATACTTTAGAACAATGATGGTGAACCTTTTAGAGACTGAGTGCCCAAACTGCAACCCAAAACCCACTTATGTATTGCTGGGTACCGTGGCAAGCTCGAGTAGAGATGGTAGAGCACACTCACACCCAGCAAGCCAAAGGCCATCCCAAGCAGGGAAAGCCGGATTTCTATCGACGCCATGGCCCCCCAGTGCCAGCCAGACTTGTGTGACTCTCTCCATCTCTGCTGGTCCTGGGCAGCCACGATGCTGATGGCGATCTGGCTTTCCCTGCTTGGGGTAGCCTTTTGTTTTCTGGCCCTGGGTGTGCTCTACCACTTCTAAGCGGGGCTTCCTAGCTGACCGCTTCAGCTCCTTCGTGCGAGGGGAGTGGAGAAAAAAACCCTGCTCCCACATAAGATGGATTAATTTCTCTGCCATACTTTCTTTATAGTTTACTTGCTGGCAGCAAAAAGCCTTGGAGAGCAGAGAACCCCCCCATCCCACGTAAGGGGAGGATTTTCTTCTCTCTTGGCTTTTTGCTTCCAGATAGTCTGGCAGCGAACAGCCAAAGGGAGCGGAGAACAAAACTCTGATCCCACGTAAGGTGGATTTTTGAACTTTCTTTAAAGTTTACTTGCTGCAGAATGTGGATCCTTCCCATTCTGCATCAAGCAAAACAGTCTGGCAGCGAACATCCACTAGAGAAAAAAAAAACGGTCTCAGGGAGGTGGAGGATTTTCACTATCAGGAGCAGGAAAAAAACCCATTATTTTGAGGCGCCAGACTAGTGTGCGTTCACGTGCATCCAACCGCCTTGCTTGCTGCAAAGCCAGATTGCAGCAAGGAAGGAAGGGATTGGAGGCACGTGAATGCACGCTAGTCTGGCCATTTCTGAGCTGGTTTTCCAAACTCAAATTAGTTACTGGTTCTATGGAATGAATCCCACCACTGGGGTGGGGGGTTTTGTGTGGTTGTTACTGACGTGTGGTAAGTTCAAGGAGACCATCGTATTTCATTCAGCCATGGATTGGCTTTTCCGTGATACAACTCTTGTTGTGTTTTAAAAAATGGTTTAAAGGTCAGGAAAAAAACGCAGTGAGAAGCGCCCCGCCTCCAGCCAGTACTTTCTCCACCCCACCCCAACGGAGCACTCCATTGCCGCCACTCCACCGACCCACCCCTCGCACGGAGAGTCCTCTCACCGCCCCGACGCAACCCTCTCACGGAGCGTCCTGCTCCCGCTGCCCCGACCCAACCCTTGCAGAGTGCCCTTTCATGCTCCGCTTGCAAGGCACTGTCCAACGTCTCTTTCGATTTCCCTTCTTGCCGCCGGATATTTTCCATCCATTCCTATGAGTCAGGGCTTTGGATGGAGATCGGCTGCCTGCGCCTACCAGGCCTGCCCACTAGGCCCGCTGCCCCACACTGGCCATGACCTCCGGCCAGTGCTGCCTCTCCTGCGAACTCCCCCATGGCTGGGACACAGCCAAGTTTGCTGCCGCTGGCACCATCCTGTCCTCACCCAGCGCCAGGAAGGAGAAGATACACTGGAGGATGACGGCCGTTTGGAGGCACCACCGGAGCGGCAGGCACAATGGGGCAAACTGCAACCACATGGCCAGCATGACGGGGTTGGGCTCCTACAGGTTGCCCGCCAAGCGCAGCTGCAGCTTATCACAGACGAGCTCTTCCTCCTCTGTGAGGCCCTGCCCGCCCATAAGTGAGGCACATCTGCACTGCTGCGGGGGGGAGGGGGCGTCTCCCCAACGTTGGCTTCGGGCTGGCTGGCCTTAGCCCAGTGATGGTGAACTTTTAGAGACCACGTGTGCTGGGGCAATGGCGCGTGCCCACAGAGAAGGCTCCGTGTGCCACCTCTGGCACGTGTGCCATAGGTTCGCCACCACTGCTTTAGAACATGGGATACATTTTATCAATGGCTAGAAAAACAAGGTAGAGAGAAAGGAGTTTAACATGTATTAGTAAACTAAATATTGGAACCCAGACAACATGTTGCTGATAAAATATTAAGGATTTGTGATTATACAAAATTAATAAAATATCATTATTAAAAAAACGAAGGAAGCAATGGCAAACCACTTCTGAAAAACTTTGCCAAGAAAACTGCAGGGGCTTGTCTAGGCAGTCTCTGAGAATCGGACATGATTGAAAGGAAGAAAAAAAATGTCAGAACAATTGGAATCCGAACAAAATTTAAATTTGATTGTATATCATTCTATTACCATTCAATATAAAGCAATGCCATATACCTAGAGTTTGAGTCACATTTAACATATTTGCAGGGCCCTGTAGTCATGTGACTGATTTACAATAGTTTTGATGAAAATAGGTGTTTACTTCCAGTTTCCAGTAAAAACTGCCCCATGGTGAATAGTGGTTTCACTTAATGACTGTGGTATTTGCTTAACACTGTGAAAAAGAGTCTGTTCACATGATGGTCACCCACCTTATGACTGTCACAACTTACAGCTGTAATTGCCAGGCTCAATTTTAACTCAAGAACTACCTATATTAGAAATAATTTTGAGACAGATATATTTTTTTATTTCAAATACTATATTTTTAACACCTGTTTTAATGCCTTTATTTTGTTAGCTATTTCAAGTTCAGCACAGTGTTAAAAATGGAAATTCAAGATATAGTCTTCAGACTGTTTTGAAAATTTATTAATCTATGCTTTTTTTTTTCTAGAAAAGGATGTAAACAGAACAGATAGAACAAATAAATTTTATGAGGGTCAAGATAATCCTGGATTGATACTACTTCATGACATTTTGATGACCTATTGTATGTATGACTTTGATCTGGGTAAGTAAAGTTTTATCTTTTATTGACCCTGTGAAGTATTATTTCTTGAAATTAATCAAAGACAGTCTGATGTATTCAATCTTAAAGTTTTAATTAAGAGAGAAATAAGAAAAAGAGTAAATTGTATTAGGTAATATCTTAAAATGCAGAATATATCTATAGTATATTTCTATTTTAACCTGTCATGAAGGAGGTCCAGTACTATTAGGCATGCTTTTAATACTGTATAACATCTATTAAAAAGTACTGTAAGTTTTTAAAATGTAATTATTTCTATATCTCTATTTGTGTCTGTTTATCTGTGTGTCTATGTGTGTAGGTATTACTGTGTCTCCCCGAAAGTAAGGCCTACCCCAAAAATAAGCCCTAGTTTTGGGGTGAAGCATACACTTAAAAATCAAGCTAGGGCCAGGGTGGGTGGGTGGAGCTGACCCACATACCCCACACCCACTTAACTTGTAGCCAGGCCTCTCCTCACCGGCCCACTTCTTCTGCGGCGTCTTCTGCAGCCAGGCCTGCATTTCTCAGTCACAGGCCTTTCCAGAAGGTCTGTGCAGCTATGGATTCAATCCATAGCTTGGTTCTGCAAGACATCTGCAGCCAAGGACTGAGCTATGGATTGAATCCATAGCTCAGTACTCGGCTGCATAGGCCTTCCTGAAAGGCCTGACAGCAAAAAGAATGAAGCTGCTCCTTTGGCTAGAAGAAGTGGACCTGCTGTGTGGGGTTGTCGGTGCCGGAGATGAGTAAGACATTCCCTAAAAATAAGACCTGGTGCCTGTTTTAGAGGCAAAAAAAAAAGAAGAAGAAAAGAAAAGACCCAGTCTTATTTTCAGGTAAACATGGGTATGTATGTGTGTATGTATAGATGGATATCTTTTCTAAGTATTTGTTCTTAGTTCCAGAATTTATCATCTGAGAAAAGAGAAATGTTCAACAATTCATTTTTCCTTTTCTTTTAAGGATATGTTCAGGGAATGAGTGACTTACTTTCACCTATTTTATATGTGATGGAGAATGAAGTGGATGCTTTCTGGTGCTTTGCATTGTACATGGATCAAATGGTAAATATTTTCATCTTTTGTATTATTGTTCTATTAAGACTGGGAAATATTATTTCCTTATGTCACCTTCTCTGATTCTTTGTATTATATTTCTTAGTGGTATATTCAGAGATAAAGTGTTAAAATTGCTGCAATATATGAAGTCAGAAGTAGATAGAATAATCTGAATAGTACCTTTATAGTGAAAGTGCAAAAATGGCTTTTTTAAAGGAGACGGTACATATAATTAGTGTCTTATGACTTTTCAATTAGTAACTTGAATCTGGTTGTACCTTCCATTGTAGTTGATCATTGTTACATCTGTATTTTCTATGAACTATTACCTCATTTTTTTGTTCTCTTCTCTACTGAGCTATTTTCTCAGGTGTCATTTTAAATTATAAATTGGTAGATTGCAATTCTTAGATTTTGCCAAACATTTGTAAGCTGTTCTGGGTCTCTGTGGCTGAATAATAGATAAAATGCTTAGAATATCTGAAATCAGATATAGTAATGTATTAAATGCTTGGTCACTTCAGAGCATCACTCCCCCATCGCAGGGGATAACAAAGGAATCAGCCATAGGAGCATAAAATCAAAAATGCACTATATGACACTATGAGTGATGCAAGGATCAGCTGGCCAGGACCCGTCACAAGGTCTGTGAGCCAAATGCAGACGCTGCTGCACTCATAAGCGAACTTCCCCACCCTCTGGCTTTTACACCCTGACGATGATGGCAGTGGTATAGCCATTGAAAGCTCGGTTATTTATTAAAAACTTGATTGTTTTTACTTCCTGGTGATCGTCTTTTATCTGTCAAGTATGTATGTATAGGTATATCTACGTATAGGTACATATGTGTGCGTGTATGTGTGTGTGTGTGAGGGAGAATGCATACATGTCATATACATGCCGTTTCCATTTAAGCCAGCAATTCAGCATACACAGTGGACTTTTGTGTTCATTTAATGCTGATAATTATTTATCAAGCCCAATGTACATGTAATAATACTAACCTCTATAATCTATTACTATTATTTATCCCAATTATTTCCAGGATATAGCTGTCATACATTTTGTGTACATGTATATAACTTCAGTGAATTCACATACATGGACAGCCATATGTGAATACATCTGGCCAGGGCTTTTGACAGCTCGTCACAGCTAACTTACCACAGCCAACTTGTCACACCAACTTGCTGTGGAACAACTTGCCATGGCCAACTCGCCACGGGGCAACTCTCCGCGGGAGACGAGTTATATTAATATTGCCGAAATAGTGAAATAGAATCATTAAAGGATACAAAAGAGGGACAAAATGAAATGTAAATGGCAAAAGTTAAAATAATTGTTTAAATTATTTTAAATAATTAAATTGAATTGTTGAATTGTCCTGCAGTGAGTTGTCCCGTAGTGAGTTGGCCATGGCCAGTTGTCCTGTAGCGAGTTGACTGGTGACTTGGCCGTGGCGAGTTGTTCCATTCTGCCTGGCACATATGGTGCAATCTGTTTAGAAACAAATAGAGATAGCTGCACTTATCATAGTTTTCATTTCATGTTTCTATTGAATTAAATTACCATATCAACTGTGAGATTAACCTCATCCTTGACATCTTTCCAATGTCTTCTCTCAAAACATGGTTGTATCACCAGACCTGGGAACCTCAAGGAAATGGCAATTTGATGAGATTGTTGCATTGTCTTTAACATCAGTTATATCCAATATCCTGTTACTAATAACACTGTTGATGCCTTTTAATTATAGTTTTTAACATTTGGATTTTATTACTGTTTTTATGTAAGCCACATAGAGTTGCTTTATTGTGAGATGTGGCAGTATACATGTGATAAAAAAACAAACAATTAAAACCAGAATTAAATTTAAACTTAAACACATGTAAGTTTCTGAGTATTCACATAAAATATTCTAACTCTTTATCATCAAGCATCAAAATTTTGAAGAGCAAATGCAAGGTATGAAGACACAGTTAATTCAACTGAGCACTTTACTTCGCCTATTAGATAGTGGATTCTGCAACTATTTAGGTATGTATACATTTTTTTAAAAAAAATAGTTACTCTATATATTTCTTTACACCATTTTCTTGCATCAGGTATTTTTTTAGTTTTTAAGAATCTTTGGTTTTTAGATAATAACCTTCTTTATGCATAATTTTGACCCAAGTGTTTTTAATCATGGTATGTAGAGCAAGCCATCCTGATTCACATATCTCTAACCCTAAAAAGCAACCTTTATGCCCTAGTATTAAATGTGATTCAGATGACTGTTTCAGTCTATGTGTTTTATTCCATTTGCATTTATAGTTAAAATAACTTTAGGTATAATTTTGGATATTAATTAATATTAATTTTTGTCCTGAACTGACAATGAAACAGTTATGGCAGTATTATATAAATTATTATGTTTGTTCATAGCTTGATCATTTTACCCAAGAATTTCTCTTCAGTTGTCTTTTATTGTGAAGTTAAAATAGCCTTCTAAGAGGATTTATGGATGTATTTTCCCCCCCCCCCCATTTCTTTAGAATCTCAAGATTCAGGCTATCTTTATTTTTGTTTCCGATGGCTTCTAATAAGATTTAAAAGAGAATTTAATTTTCAAGATATTCTTCGCTTATGGGAGGTAAGAACACTAGTGTTTTATGGCAACTTTAACTTTTGATGCTCAATTAGAATGTATAGGTTTTTAAAAACATACTGAATAGTTCTTAATAGCGCAGAATACAGTTTTAAGGAAATCTAATGAACAGTGCATAATGTTTTTTAGTCACACCAGCATGATACATCAATATCTCAAAAAGCAGATGGACTTGGATTTAGTTTTGTATGGATCTGGAATTTTAAGGGGAAAAGTGCGTGCTTTAAGTATCTACAAACCTCTGCTCCTTAACATTATCCTTTCTCACATTGTTTTCAAACAAATTTAAAAAGCCAAAATCTTTGAGATGGAAGATTTTTTTGTATCCCTATTGCCACTTTGCACACCAGAAGGTAACAATCCTATTAGAAGGGTTTGCCTTTATATTTTTTCTAAAAGTGGTGATCATGACTTCATATTTTATATGTCATATTTAATATGAAAAATAATTTTATTGTTAAAAATGAATAAGCTAAAACAGTGATGGCGAACCTTTTAGAGACTGAGTGCCCAACTGCAATCCAAAACCCACTTATGCATCGTCGGGTGCCGGGTGGGTGTGGCCCATTGGGTGGGCATGGCTGTGGTGGTAATGGCAGACTGGGTGGGACTAAAAAATTCAGTCAATTCCAACTTTGCAAGACCTTTTTTTCCCCACAAGAAGTTGAAATTGACTGACTGATTGAACTTTTTTTTTTTTGCACACAACAGCGGAGGCCTAAAGCATAAAGATTTTATAAAACCCAGTTGAAGGCCTAGGACTGGGGCGACGGCGCACGTGCCCACAGAAAGGGCTCTGAGTGCCGCCTCTGGCACCGGTGCCATAGGTTCGGCACCACTGAGCTAAAACATACACAGTATAGAAAAATTACATAGAGGACACTCAAGATACAGATACTGTGGAGTTTTGTAAAGAAAAAAATAAGATTTATGCATACATTGGATCAACACACTTTCAAAACCAACCCGCCCCCCCCCCCAAAAAAAACCTGGAGAAGTAATATTTTAGTTTTTTCAATCATATGAAATGGAAATCATAATATTGTTATCTAGTTGAAGGACAGAAGCTGGAAAGAATCATGTTTTCTGGAATAACCTGAGTGTGTTTCTCTCTCTCTCTCTCTCTCTCTCTCTCTCTCTCTCTCTCTCTCTCTCTCTCTCTCTCTCACACACACACACACACACACACACACACACACACACACACAGAGCTATAGCCATTTATCCTTGGATCTGAGCTGGGACAGGAACCAGAGCTCACCCCATTGTGTGGCACTCGGATCTCGAACTTTATTTTAGCACTCCATTATTAGCAGCATAAGGAGAACCTGCCTACCTTACTGGTTGGAAACCAACAGTGTTGTTTTTATTAGATTTTTTAAAAAATTAAAATATTTATTCATTTATTACAAGTGGTGTGGTATCTTAGTCATAAAAGTGATTTTTTAAAATGTATTCATTTATTAAATAATGTATTCCAAGATAAATATGGAAAGAGAGGAGATAATGTCCCATTTGTAAAAAAAAATAAAAAGAGACAAAGACTGCTGAGATGTCAGTTGTCAGGAGCAAACATGAGAAATATTAATGAAAGGTCAAATTACTAGACACTTGCTTTTTACATTATCAGGATTCTTGTTCTTTGTTTTTTTCTTCTAGTAAGGAATATATAGATTCATTCTTAGCCATGCTGAAGTAGTTTTGTTTCCTGACAGTCTACAGTATGTTACTTATTCTATTAGCCAATTTTTGTTTTTGTTCCCTGACTTTCTATAGCACGTATTCCCATGTAATAATTTTTAAGTCTCATTAGAGATATCTACTGTTAGTTGTAGATGGCTGATGCTAACAGCATATCGATTGCTCTGCCTTTTTTCTTGTCAGGGCCTTCAAAGAAAGCTGTAATAAGAAATACAGACAAAATATAATTCTCTGCTCATAAATTACATAGATAAGGGTTTCATTAGAACTACCAACATTAAAATAGTCATAGCCTTTAATGAAATCAATAATTAAAAGTTAGCCAACTATTTTTCTTCTGATGTGATTATCTCTCCAGAAAAAATAATAATTTGGTGACTGGATATTATAGATATAATCAGTTTAAGATGACATGTAAACTGAATGATGATTCAGTTGAAATATCAATATCAAATACAGGCACACACAGCTGTTAAAGAAAATATAAGAGATGAACTAATGCAGTGAGGTTTATTTAAAATGAATTGTATTTAATTTTATTTAAAAGATTTGTATGTTTGCCCTTCTTAGAATACAACTCTGAGTGGTTCACAACAATAAAATAGTAAAACAGTTGATATGCAAATTCCATTAACTAAAGAGTCAGGATGGACCTTTTTATGGCATGTCATAAGCTCTCAAAGTGATGGAAATAGTGTGTGGTGGGATTGGAATATTGATGGACAATTTGAATATCATAAGCATTTACAAGACATAATGTAACTCTGATCCACTATGATTTTGCAGAGCAATATGTAACAATCCTCTACAAAATCCTCACCTTCATTTTTTAACAACCAAAATGGTGACTTAGAAAATAAATGGATAGAAATATGAATAAATTGTATTGTGTTAAAAATGTAGAGAAGTGAGACATCCATAATTAAACAACCTTTTTAACAGAAGAAAGTTGTTTATAAAAATAGTTATTTATAGACTGAAAATTGTTTGTTTCATATTAATTGACTATACCAAAGGAATACTTTTTATGATGACAATGGTATTTCATTGGTTCTGGTAGATGGAGAGCCTTCTTCTGTATTTAAGGAAAAAAATACAGTGTTATTGAAAGCTGTGTTCAGAACAGGACACAAACTACAGTATATACAGTACATTGATCTCAGATGTTTTTAACTGATATATTAATATGAAATATTCTATTACATTTTTCTAGATAACTTTACTAACCCTGGTTTGCACTCTGCTGACACTATAATTTGTGTTGTCTATGTGCACATAAATGGTTTAGATCAGGGATTTTCAAACATTTTCCATGCTGTGAAATATATATATTAAAAAAAATCCTGGAATCCCAGTCAAGAGCGAGAGCTCTTAAGTGATGGAAAAATGGCAGTGTTTAAATTACTTTTGTGTGCGGAGGTATAATCTCTCATAGTAGCCCATCAACTTTTCACAGAACCATAGAGTTGCACAAAGCAGTTTGGAAAACTGGCTTAGAGAATTGGAATCCATTGTAGATTTCCTATCACTGATGTATAAATACTATTAAAAATATTATTATAGAAAACTAAAATATCTACCAAATAATGTTTTACTAACAAAAAATTACTACTAAGAAGATCTTGATTACTAAAATAAGTAAAAGTAAATCTTTTACTAAAATGGGCAGAGTCTTTTCTTTATTTATCAGCAAGTTGAATGTTTTACCAGGTGATGTGGACAGATTTGCCTTGTCAGAATTTCCACCTTCTTATATGCTGTGCTATTCTGGAATCTGAAAAACAACAAATAATGGAGAAACATTATGGCTTTAATGAAATACTCAAGGTATCTATTACATTGAATTAAATTGAGACTATTTTTCTATCCTTTCTGTTTTGGATTTAAAAAATGAATTCCATTTCATCCTAGAATAAGAAGTGAGAGAGGATTAATGAATGTAAGTAATCAGCCATAGTTATTCTTTGATGAAAGATGCTCAATGTTGAATTAACAGATACCAAAATTATCAAAAGAAATATTATAAATCATATTAATCATGTACAGAGTGATGGTTATTTGTTTTATAAAGCATGTAGTAGAGTTTTTTTTATTGTTCTGAAGCAACCACAAAAGCTTCTTATGTGCATTACTCTAGAATAGAGGTGTCAGGGTGAAATAGGAAGTTTTTGCTTGAGTGAAGTTAAGCTATGGAAGATAAAGTTACCCATAGTTATAATACAAACAAAACACTCAAAGTATATTCCAGTGTATTAGTTCACAGAAAATGGCAATCTATATATTGTCCAATCTCAGTATGCAGTTAATTGGTGGTGGCAGCTGTTGGCTGTGGCCTAGCAAAAAGAACTGACCAGCTTAAAACAACCTTATCAAGAATTTTAAATCCAATCAGGGTGTATACTTTATGTACCATATTTTATCCAAAATATATCTCTGAATTTATATTGTATATATCCAATTAAAAGAAAAATTTGGATAAATAATAAGAATGCCACATTATTCTCAATGTATCTAAAATTTTCAGTGTATCTAAAATGTTCCTTCAGTTTTAAAAGTAAATTATTCTAATGGTGAACTTTTAATAAAAGATGCTAAAGAAGGTATTAATATTCTGAAACTTAGACAAAAATTTGAGACTGACCTTTTTTGCTTTATTTTATATTAGCATATCAATGAATTGTCTATGAAAATGGATGTGGATGATGTACTTTGCAAAGCAGAAGCTGTTTCTATGCAGATGATGAATTGCAAGGTAAAAAGTGAAATGCATTTTATAAGCATTCTATGAAGAAATCATGGGTTGTTCCAACTGACCCTTCAAAAGTTGGACAACAGTTTTTGAAAATATAGAAGGAATACTTCAGAGTGATTGCCTATTTTGTTATCGCTTTTCCTGTGGCAACTCCCTCTCTTTTTTTAAAAAAATACATATATACCATTTTTATATTATAACATTTTACTGTACACTGTCTAGAGTCTCCTCTAAGGAAGAAATAATCAGTTTAAAAATGTGAAAAATAAAATTAAACAAATAAATAATTCTTGCTTTCAGATTTTACATTTCCTCTGTTAGGAAAATGTAATGGAATGTGGAATTCTTTGAGAGTGAACATTTTGCCCTCTTTTTTTCTTTAACATCAAGGTTGTATGCACACCTCAGACAAGATTAAAGAAAAGCAGTAAGCCATATTAATGTGCAGCATTTCTTCGAAAAATAATAAGTTCTGTTGCAGTATGTAACTCCTGGCTATTGTATTTTGTTGCTTGTTTAGAGCTAATTACTACTCACTTTTTCCTATCAAATGACAAGTTGTATGATTCAATACTTCATGTACCTACATTTAAAAGTCATGTTTATTTCATTTAATTTAGTTCTGCATTAGGAAATCAGGTATCTGTGGCTGAGATATAGTTTCAAAGCAGGGTATAATTCCAACGATCAAAAATAACTTTTGTCTTTTTTTTTCCTTCAAAGGAATTACCTCAAGCAATTTGTGAAATTTTGGGATTAGAAAATAGTGCTATGACAACACCAGATTCAGATGCTGGGGAAGATAAGGCTGTTGATGGGATGAGTTGCCTTGCATCAGCATCTCCAAATGTTTCTTTGCTTGCTGCTGCCGACAAAAGGAATGAAAGAATTCAACAAGTGATACACACAGACTCCACAAACTAATGCTTGTGTAATTGATTTTATTGTTCAATAAGCAGTTTATTACAACTGTTTTGTTTCAGGCACTTGGGTTGATATTTTGAGTTTGTGTTAATTAAGCTTTAATGAATTGGGAAAGAAATCATGTACTGTAATACTTCTACATCAAAGCTTTACATGACATTTTTATAGTTTCTTCTACCAAAATAGCCTTCCGTTTTTTCAGTAACATTCCTTAATACATTTGTATAAAAGTGCATTTTTTGTCTTCAGTGAAAAGAATCAGGCAGTGTAAATGACATGAAATAAAGGGATCTATTCCTTGTACTTTGAAAACACCTGGGCATGGTTAGTTTTTGGATATCATTGAAGTGTTATAACTCTTCTATACTATTTCCTAAGTTAAAGATGGCAACTTCCACAACACACTTTGTAAATGAAAGGATTGTGTTCTTTTTCTAATGTTTACAAAAACGCTAAGTATTTGTGTGGACTGAATGTAGATTTGGAATGAAAATTTCCATTTGTGAAGTCCCTGATCCTTAATTTTTGCATAACCCAGGATGGCATTTTTACACCTTTCTTATACATACATACTTATACATTCAGATGTATGAATATTAAAGGATAACTCTATTTTTGACTAAAACAACCTTTTGGTAATTTAGGCAATTTTGTCCAAATTTTAATATACAGTTCAAGCCTAACTATTTTTGAAAATCATTTTTTAAAATAAGGATAAATGTCTGAATATATTCAGGTTCTCAATATTCTTAGCAAGGTTTTCTTGCTCATTTAATTAATAATGTTTATCTTTGTTTAATAGTAGTATTACTGTTTAATAATAATCAATCTAAATTGCCTTTATATTAGACTAAATATTTTGAAAACAGATAAAAATAAATATGACATTTTAATTTCCTTCCTTTGCTTTTGCCTAAGCTCCCTTTGGTAACACAACAAAAACTGGAGTTTCCTAGGGTGGACTGTTGATGTTTTACAGTAATGTGAAATACAGTTTCATGTATTTGTTTCTATTTGAAGAGTATTGTACATATTATGAAATAAAATTCAAAGTTTACTTAAAGATTTTTAATTAAGATACACTTAGGGGAAAACTGAGGAAAGAGTTCCTAAATTTCTTTCTTTTTTAAAAAAAAATTATTCCTTTTTCACTATACAACAAAAAATAAAAATGAAAAATACATTTTTTTCCACTTAACAAAACTGTTATACATCTCATATATATTATTTACAATTTATTTACATCAGTAATCATATCTTTTTCTTTCTCTGTTCTAGCCAATCATAAGCTTTGTTCCATATTTCATAAAATTCTGTTGCCTCCTTGTTTTTAATTCTAATGTAAGTTTGTTCATTTCCGTGCATTCTAGAATTTTGTATATAATCATATTGTTTTTAGGTATGTTTTCACCCTTCCAACACTGGGCGTATACTATGTGAGCTGCTGTTAATATATGTATAATGATGTACTGGAGTTGTTTTTCCATCTTTAAATTTATTATACCCAAAAGAAATAGTTCAGGTTTGAGTTCAATTTGCACCTTAGTTATCTCCTGTATCCAGTTCCTTATCCGTTCTCAATAGGTCTTTGCTTTAGGGCACAGCCACCACATGTGATAGAACATTTTGTATTGATTTTCCCTATATGCAGTTGACAATGTCAGTTTACAATTTATGTTCCATAATCTTTCCCATTCTTCCAGTTTTATATTTCGGCCCACATTTCGTGCCCATGCTATCATTGGCCCTTTCACTATCTCTTCCTCCAAATCCACCTCTAATAAATATTTATAGATTTTTGTTAAAAAATTTTCCTTCCTTATCTGTTAAAATTTTATCCAATTGATGCGGGTCTGGCTTATTCCATGCTCTTCCATATCCTTACTATGTTTAGATTGGATCTGTAAATATGGCCATCAATATTGTTCTTGTTATTCCTTGTTCTTCTAATTCTTCTCTTAATTTGAGTTTTCCCTGGTTATCTAATAGTTCTTTGTATCTAATCATCTTTTTTTTCTCCAAGGTGTTAGGGTGGATCATTGCCTCCATTGGTGAAATCCAATTTGGGATTTTCCTATAGTGCCTTTTTTAACCTTTTCCCACATCCAAATCAGTGCATCTCTTATCTGATGTTGATAAAAATATGTGTGTGTTTTCTTATGTTTTCCCCATAAAAAGGCATGCCAGCCAGCCTGTAAGTCATGCCCTTCGATCATTAAAACCCTTTTATTGTCTAGGTTTATCCAATCCTTGATCCAGAGTAGTCCAGCTGCTTGATAGTAAATTTCCCATTTTGGGAGCCCAAGTCCACCTCTACTTCTACTATCTTGTAATATTTTCCTGTTTATCCATGCTTTTTCCCCCGACCAAATAAATTTGTTTATTATTTTGTCCAATTCTTCAAAAAAAAATTTTCTCTAATTTTATCGGGACTGTTTGGAATAAATATAATAATCTTGGTAATATATTCATTTTAATCAATGCAATCCTACCTAATAATGATAATTGTAATTTCCCCCAGGTCTCAAAATCTTTTTTCATTGGTAATATCAATTTTTTATAGTTATCCTCTTTTATTGAGGAACACCTTGTAGTAAGCCAGATTCCTAGATATTTGATCTTTTTTACAATTTGCAATTTCAGATTCTCTTCTAATTTCCTTTTCTGTTTTTCGGTTAGGTTTTTGACTAACATTTTGGTCTTTTCTCTATTAATTTTTAATCCTGCCACTATTCCATATTTTTCTATTTCATTCATCAAAATATTTCCTCTCTCTATCGGTTCCTCAATAAAAAAGACCAAATCGTCCGCAAATGCCTGTGTCTTATACTGCTCTGTCTTAACCTGTACCCCTTTTATCTCTTTATTAGCTCTAATTTGAGTTAGTAGCACTTCTAAAGTCAAAATGAAAAGTAGAGGTGACATTGGGCATCCCTGTCTTACCCCTTTATTGATTTCAAAGCTTTTTGTATTATCTCCATTAATTATCACGCTGGCCTTTTGTGTTTTATATATTGCCTTTATCATGTTCTCGAATTTCCCTCCAAATTTCATGTCTTCAATCTATTGGAACATAAATTGCCAACTGAGATTATCAAATGCTTTCTGAGCATCTAAAAAAATTAGTGCTACCTGTTTTCCCGGGTGTGCTTCGTAATATTCTAAGACATTTAACACCGTTCTCGTATTATTTCTAATTTGTCTTGTAGGTAAAAAAACCATTTTGATCTGGGTATATTATATCCTGTAATATTAATTTCAATCTTTCTGCAATTATATTAGTAAAAATTTTATAATCAGCGTTCAACAACGAGATCGGCTATAATTTTTGGTCTGTTTGGGGTCTGTGCCTTCTTTTGGGATAAGGGATATGGTGGCTTTTATCCAGGAGTCTGGTAATTTAGCTTTCTCCAATACATCATTATACACATCCAATAATATAATATAGTCCTCGTAAAAAGTCTTGTATACTTCCCCTGGAAGGCCATCTGGTCCTGGGGTTTTATTATTATTATTATTTTTTGCACTGCAGTTTTTAATTCCAAGGCTGTTATTTTCCCATTCAATATTATCTCTGTCCTCCTTTTAATTCTGGCAAGCCATTGGCCTTTAAGTATTGTTTAATGCTCTCCACATCCGTTTCCTCTTTTTTATATAGTGACTCAAAATAGTTCTGAATTATTTCTTTTTTTAATCCATTTTGTATTGTGACTCTCCATTTTTATGTAGTTCCTGAATAAATCTTTTCTCCTTCTCTTTTTTTTTTAATTTGTAAGAGAGCCATCTCCCAGGTTTATTTGTGTGTTCAAAAAAATTTTGTTTTGCTATTTTCAATTCTTTTGCTCTTTCCTCTTGATCTATCATGTTTAATTTATGTTTAGCCAAAACCATTTCTGTTTTAATCGATTCATCCTGGGGCTCTTTTTGTAATTTAGATTCCAATTTTTTAATCTCTTCCTGGAGTATATTTTATGTTTGCCTTTTCCCCTTATTTTTTCTTGCTATATAAGCTATTACTAAACCTCTTAAATATGCTTTCGCAGTGTCCCAAATAATTTGTACTGATGATTGTTGTTTTGTATTCTCTTTGAAAAAAAAATCCAATTCCGTTCTAATCCTTACTGTAACTTCTTTTTCTTTCATTCAGTGAGAATTCATTATCCATCTTCTTACTTTTTTCTGCCCTTTCCAAATTATTTCTGGAGGATTATGATTGGCCCATATATTTGGCTTTATTTCTATTGTCTCTATGTCTTGCCCTACTTCTTCATTCATCCATGCCATGTCTATTCAGGACCACAATTTATGTGGGTTCGAGAAAAATGTATATTCTTTTTTTTTTTATTCCACTTTCTCCACTGATCAGATAAATTAAATTCATATGCCAAATCAAAAAATGTCTTTGGTAGTGTTTTCCTTTTCTTTTTATTTTTCATATCACTAATATAGTCTTTTTTACTTCCACTACCGCATTATAATCTCCTACAATACAAATATTTCCCTGTCCAATTTCTATAAGTTTCTCATGTAATTTATAAAAAAATACTTTTTGATTTTCATTTGGTGCATATATTACCACTAGGAGCCATGATTTCTGTTCGGTTTGTACTTCTATTGCTAATATTCTTCCATCTGTATCTTGGTACTTCAATTTAGCATTAATTTCTTTTCTAATATAAACCGCTAATCCTCTCTGTTTTTGTTCAGCTAGTGCTGTATATAATACTCCTAATTTGGGAAATTCTAAATATTTCCTGTGTTCTTTGATGTGTACCTCTTGTAAACAAACCATATCTATATGTTGTTTGGCTAATTTTGTTAGTGTTTGTTTTCTCTTTGCAGGTGCATTTAATCCATTTACATTAATAGATAATAGTCTGACCTTGTTTTCCATTATCTACTTGTGTTCTACTTGTGTGTTTGTCTTGTTCTTGGACCTACTCCTCCTTCTTTCTTCTGTCCTTTTCCTTCCTTGCTTTCTGACCCTCATTCTATTTCCCTTACTTCCTGCTGTTGGTCTTCCTGGCTTTTAGATTCCAATTCTTCTTTGCTGCTATTCTCTTCCTCCACTCCTTCCAATTGTTCGTAGAATTCCCATGCTTTCTCTAGGCTATCCTCCTCTCCCTCCATGATATCAACATCCCTTCCAGGATTAACCATCTGAACGGTATACTTTTTTTGATTAAATAAGTACTGACGAATCTATAATCCCTTCTCTGTTCTCTTATCTTCTTTGGTACCTGTTTTAGAGTTTGTATTTCCAAACCTTTGTAAATCATTGGATCCTCTCTTGTGATTTTATATCTATCACCTTTTTCCTAGCAAATCTGATATGTACTTCTCGTCTCCTCTCTCACCTCTCTTGACTGAAGACACTGTCCCTATTAAACTCTGGGTTTTCCTTCCGATCTTGTCTCTCTCGCCGTCAATCCGTTCTTTTCACCTTCGTCTCCTGTCTCGTCCTCTCGCCGTCTCTTTCACCTTCCAGATTTTTACTGCACGCCACTCTCTTTTGCACTTAAACATGTATTCTTGTCGTCTCCTTGACTTTCCAAGTCCTCACCACGTTCAGGTCTGTCTCCAACTTTCCTCCAGCCACTTTCTCCAAAGGTCTCAAATGCTTCACCACGTATTCACTCCTCTGTTCCTCCTAAATCGCCATTTTCTTTTCCTTCCCAGTTGTTTGCTTATCAACCTTCTCCCTTCACTTCTCTCGTCTCACAGGCTCCACCAACTCCACCTTCACCACCGTCTCTCAGCTTTTTCTTCCTTAATCCTCTACCATCTTTCTCGTATTTGTGCTCAAACGTTTACCACCAGGTCTTTTTTTTATGTCTTCCTCCTGTTAATCCTCTGGTTGTTAAATCTGTCAGCTCACGGCTTTTCCTGCCGGGTCACCGCTTACATTGAGGATTCCCTCACCAGTTGAACTTCCTTTCAACACCCACCCTAATAGACATGTAGATCTTTTTAGACTTTTCTGTTATTCCTTAGAAATATTTTAGGCTATTTTAACTCACTCATTAACACAGTCTGTTAAGTTCCTCTTTGCTTCCGCATCCTCTGTGATTTTGTCAGGGCCTCAGATCCGCCATCTCTTGATGGCAGAAATTTCCACGCTGGATTTAGGGGGTTTCCTTCGTTGTAACAGCGATTGCCTCTCACCTTGTTACTCTTCCAGCTTCACCCCTTTCTCACACGTAGCCCTCCAGGCTCTCTACGCCCCCGAGGGGTCTCCAATTGTAGAAAGATTGGAGTTAGGGGACAGAGACTGTCCTCTTGCCTCCGCACCGCCCTGACGTCACCACCGGAAATCAGAGTTCCTAAATTTCAAATGTTTGATGAGAAGTATTCAGTTCTTTTATGGCATAACACTTTGGTTATAAAAGATGAGAAGATAGGCTAGCAATGGAAGAAATTAAATTCCTTGTCCTATAGGCATCAGTGGGGTTGTATTCATAAATAAGCAGTTGAATTTTGGTTTTCTGATGATAAGCTTGAAAAGACAAATGTGACCCTCATGACATTTGTCAGGATCTAGAAATCCCCTTTTCATAATGACACCCTAATCCATGTTTTGTCAATAGAAAAGCTGGCTTGCTTTTTCCAGTATAATTAAAGGTAGGTGGGTAGCTGTAGGAAAAAGAAAAGGAAATATTAAGTCATTCCCAATTATTTAGTAAATACAATCTATCTCCAAAGGATTCAATTTCTTGTATATACATTCTGAAAAAGAACTTAACTGAGAGTGAAGAAATATGCCCATGCTTTTAGTTCACGGGTGTCAAACTGCCGGCCCGCGGGCCGGTTTCATCATACCGGAGCCGTGCCTACCCCATTGCCGGCAATGGCAAAAAAGCTCCGATACGTCACATGATGTCACATGATGTCGCGAGTTTGGCATGTCTGTTTTAGTTGCTCAAAAGATAAAGCAAATTGTTGTGAGAGAACTGATGAAATGGCAAGTTATTAACACAGATATCGGAAGGTGAGATCTCTGTAGTTCTTGGCTTTAATTCATTTGGGATACTTATCTTTTATCAGTTAATAACAAAATACCCCGTTTGGCAAATGGCAAGAAAGCAAGACCCAGCATCTCTAGGCTTTCATTTCCTGCTTACAGGAAATAATTTTTGGATTATCTTGCCCCTTTTGTTCTCTCATAGAACTTTGACTTTTACATTATCATGTTAATACAATTGCAGGATATATATTTTTTCTGTGCTGTCTGTTGGCATGATTCCAAAATGAACACAAAGCTAACATGGAATAATTCCCCCCCCCTTCTCTCTCTCTCTCTCTCTCTCTCTCTCTCTCTCTCTCTCTCACACACACACACACACACAATTTTCTTCATTCTTGCAACGTTCAACATGGCAGAAATGTGGAAAGCATAATTAGGATATTTATGCACATAGTGGGACTTCTGATTTTTTCTTTTTTACTTATCTTACATGACAATTTCATTATCAAAACAATGTTGAATGTGTCGTCATAAAAATAGTCAAACTGATTTGGTGTTGAAAACAACCGAATAATTGTAGCACAATAGCCCCAGTGATAATACTTATTTAAAAAATATATGACGTGTAAAGCCTGTCTACCTTAAGGTAGTCAGATAGAATCAGAAGAGACTCTTTAAGGAAGGTATTCCCATCATTTACAGTAGATGCAACCACATGCGTCCTGCTGCAATCAAATTAGCTCTTCAATAGATATAGGAGGGAGAATTTATAAGAACTGATCATTATAGTATATGTCCTGTACTGAATTGCTACTGAGTTCTAGAAACCTACATCTAAGTCTACTGAAATCATGTGCCAAAGTTCTTGGGAATTTAACCTCACCTGTATTTGGCTAAAGAACACATCCATGAGTCTAAGCAGAATTATGTAATTGGATTCTTATTTCCTGGGGTACAGTAGTTTTAACATAGTATTGGATAATACAACTATAATATTTAAATATTTGCAGACTCTCTACACTAGAATTTATGCACTAAGTAAAATTTATTTTTATATATGATACTTCACCAATAAGTAACGGAAGGATGCCTTTGGTCTAATGTCAGGTCTAATCTCAATTTTTTCCACAGTTGCCTCATTTCTATATTCAAAGTAGGTAAATGAGGAATGGTAAATCAATAAAACAACTTTATAATACTTTTAATCCTGTAATCACGCACTCATTTGATTATAGTATGAAGGCTTCTGACAATATTAAAACACCCCTGGGAAAAGTACCAAATTCTCTTCATTCTTTTAAAAAATGTAATATTTACTCAAGTGACATGTAAAATGCATTTCTTGTTAACTGAAATATCAGGCTGCCCATCTTACTTTGAGTAACCATCTTCGTAATGGAATGCCATGCAAGTGTTCAAATGGCTCTCTGTAAAGAACTGCTAAACGTTTTCTGAAGTCTGATAAAAGTATAGTACTTTTAAAAATAGTACAACTCAGAGGAAACAAAGTGCTAGTTGTTGTATGGGAAAACAAGAGGAGTCAAGAAAGAAAGGTGTTTCTCTGCTACTTTCATGTGATGATCTTCATCAGTCTTTCATCAGTTCTTCAAGAGGCGTATATAAACTCTTGCTGGGGGAGGTGAGAGGCAGTTGAAGCGTTTCTTGTTCAGCCTCAGAGTGCTGAACAGCTGGACAGCTCCCTGCGGGCAGCATTGCAAGCCTGTTTCCTTCTGCTCTGAACAGAGAAAACAGTACAGTTCCCACCATGCAGCCAGCAATGATGATGTTCTCCAGCAAATACTGGGCGCGACGGGGCCTTTCACTGGACTCAGCTGTGCCTCAAGAGTATCCATTACCCAGGAATGTAACTGTAAGTATCAAGCATTTAAAGATACCAAACCATTATCTTGTCAAATTGTTTCAGAAATGTTCAGGCATTTCCAGATGACTGTTCTTTGGGGCCTTTTTACTGAACAAATTTATTTCTTTGCTTGTTCAGAAAAAACTTATGCACCACCACTTTCTCTCTGCAGCACAACTGTCTCAGTACAAATTATCAAGTTTTTTTATAGAAGACATATTTTTTGAGACAAAACTTCAGTTGATTGTATCCTTCACTTTTGTGACGGATGTTCCTAACAGTGGAATTAATCCAATCTTTGTGTTGAAGACTTACTTTCTCTGCCTTGAATTTTTTTTAAGTGCATATATATATATATATATATATATATATATATATATATATATATACACACATACATACATACATACATACACACATACATACATACACACACACATACATACATACATACATATATTTGGATTAATAAGATTTTCTTCCAGGGAAAGCTGTGAATTTAACTATGATTAAAAATGATTGAATGCATTGCTGAAATCATGAAATACAGTGGATGGCAGTCATTATGGCTGTCATTTAAAACCAAAGCAGAAGGATATAATATTTCAAACTGTAAATACTATATACTATTACTACTATTACTACAACTAACATTAATAATCAGATATAAATAATGTTATATTTGGCCCTCTATTAAAAAGATAATAAAACTTCTTGAAAATGCAATCATACTTCTTTGGGCTTAGTTTTATACATAAAAGCAGACAAACAGAAGAAACAAAAAATGTACATTACTGTTAAAGACAGCATTTGTTACAATATGTTAAAATGTTTAACCTAAATAAATATTAAAATTCTACACATTTTACAATGATTTCTCAAATAATTTAAGATTAAGAAGCTGTATCTTGATGATGTTATTATCACAAAGTTATTTCTCTGAATGTGTTTATACTTACATCCATATCAATTTATACATATATCCATTTCTGTCTGTCTCCAGGATGGTCATGATGATGATAATGATGGTGATGATGTTTCCTAGAGCACTATTGGGGGCTGTTTTCAACTTAAAAATCCATAACTATATTGTGATTCTGATTATGTTTCTTTCTCAAACTGGCTGGCTGTATTGTAATATAATGGGCTTATATTTCTGCATATAACGCCTCATATTGTACACAACTATATGTGTCTTATCACATTCAATCTCTGATTGCAATTTGTTTGAGATATCCACCTTTTAGCTTCTCTCAGAAGGTACTTCATTTTCATAAAAACTACAAGTGCTACATCATTTTTTATTTGTGTTAAGACAGGCAATGTTTGAGACACTGTTCTTAGATTTTTTTTTACAAAAATCACTAAAAATACAATGTGTATTTGTAGCATTTTAGTAGGGTTTTTAAAATATTCTATACCTGTATCACTTAGTTGTGATGAGTTATTTTTTTAAGCCAAGTGTGGTTTTCTTAAGCCAAGTCTAACACATTAGTTCAATTGGTAATTTAACAGCAATTACTTTGTATAAAAAAACTTGTAAATGTATCTAAGAATACAGGTTGTTGTGAACAAACATCATATCTAAGTTGCATGTTTTACTAGGTAAGATCCATACTGCTAATTTCTATTGATCTTCGTGTTTTTTGGTGGGCAAAAGTAATTATCACAATTCTAAATGTTGTTTGAAATGTGGTAGGAAAAAATTAAACAAGAATTATATTTAGGAATAATCAAAATATGAACATAAATATTTTGGGAAGTTATCAGTGTAGATTAATTTGCTCCTCAAGCAAAATAAGTTACTGGTTATTTTTTATTTAATTGTAGCACAAATGGATAGACTTGGTAAATTGATGGAAGTTGGCCTGTTCACTTAGGAATCCTTCAAGTTACATGGATGATTTTTTTCCGTTTGGAGGATTATATGCAAACCATATGAGAATGGAAACATTTCATTTAGCTTCATACACAGCATAGCATCTGTTTGGGTGGCACAATTGGATACCATTTCTCAAATCCTTTTATTCATATAAAAAAAAACAAAAAAATTGGTTGTCATGACAACTTGCAAATCCTTTGCAGGTTATGTATATCAAACAAATATAATTTGGGGGATTGTTTATTATTTTTTCAGGGAATAGATTTTTTTAAGTTATAGTCAAAGACCTGAAAATCTCTATTTACTAACAATAAAATAGATTTTATTTAATCTTTAAATAAAGATCAAAATGCTTGCAAAATCCTAGAACTAAGATAAGAGTTCAGTTTGATAAACTCTACATGCAGTAAAAGAAATTTTTGCAACACTGACAGAGATTATATCATTTTGGTCAAATGACAATAAACTTAATCTGAGTGGCTGTAACAATCACAATCTATTCAAAGCATTTGCCACAGCTTATGTGTCCTTAAGAATGCTTTGCTTTATCTTTCATGCTAACCATACTTGAGCAACAATGAGGAATGGCTTTCAGTAGATTTTTAAAACTCCTTCCTACATTATCTGTCTCATATGATTAAGGGAATTCATTGGTGTTAATGGAAATAGCTCTAATGAATATCCTCATGTCAAAGGATACTAAATTCTTATCAACCAGAACTGAAGAATGCTAATTCAAGACATACTGCCTCTTCACATTGTTGATGCCCATTGAAATATATGGACATATATGGCTTGCGTCTTGGAAAAAAAATAGATATGAATGAGAAAAGAGATTGTATTGAAGAAATCAAGAAAGGAATGGTAGAAGGGAAGTTAAAGAAGAATATTGTCATGCACTTTACAAAGCAGCAAATCCAGATTTATTGGTCAGCGTTGTTGAAAAGGAGCCTATTAATTACAGACCCCTTAAAAAGGATATCTATATAATAATAATTTTTAGCAGAAAAAAAATAGATCTACACATGTTTAACTCTAACCCCAGTAAAAATATTCAGATGATGTGACAAAGATCTTAATATTCCCTGTGATAATCTATGAGAATGATAGTTGGATTTTAAAGAAGGCTGGATTTTAAACAAGGAGGATAGAAAGAGCACTGATACTTTTGAACTTTGGTGTTAAAGAAGACACATGAGAATACCATAGACAGCCAAGAAAACAAACAAAGAGTCATTAAACAAATCAATCCAGAGTTCAAATGATGAGGCTCAAGTAATCTTACTTTGACACATTATGTGAAGACCTAGCTGTCTGGAAAAGGCTCTAATGCTAGGAAAACTGGAAGGGAAGAAGAAAAAAAGGATGATCACCTGCAAGGTGAATGGATTCAATTACAGAATTGATGAGTGCAGCATGGAGAGAGATCATAAGGGAGAAAATCTATGGATTATTTGAAGTTACTTCAACAATCAATCAATCAACCAATTCTAATTTAGTTGCCTTTTTATCTATCCCACTTCAAATGAATGCATATTCATAATTCAAAATTAAGCTTCCCTAGAAAAGCACAAAGATAGGATGGCCTTAACCCTTCTCAAAATACTTTAGAAGTTGTTGTATCCTTATAGCAGAAGTATACAAATCAGTTTATTACAGCCATATGGCCAGAAACAGTAAAATATCAAATTGTAGGCTACTTACATACATATATAAAAATGCACTGAGCATCATCTAATGATGAATAAGAACACTTGTAATAAAATTAAGAAATTATTACAAAAGATCTAAAAATAATATTTTCAAATATATTTATCTTATTTATATTTCTGACAAATCCCCAGTGCTGCTGTGCAGAATCTAGCCACCTGCACAGTAATGACAACCTGTTTGTCCTTAAGCAGCCACTGGAGATAAGTAGTGTCAGAACGGCCAGGATACCTATCGATTATTGGGAGGATATGGTTTTTTCGAATATCTCCATAGAAAGAACATCAAAGGAGTATGTGTCCAACGGTCTCCACCTCTCCTGAGCCACAGGAGCAGAGTCTTTCAGTCAATGGTATCTTTTTATACTTGGCGTACAAGATGGCCGATGGGAGCACATGCGAGCGAAAATGCTTTCCCGTGGTTTGCTGACTCTAACTGGCTAAGATAACTAGCAGGAGTAGCAACATATCTAATAGGGTCTGGAGCCAGAAACAGTGGAGCTATCCCTAAGTCCATTTGCCTCTTGATGTCCTCTACCCTTTGTTGCAAGGTTTGTTTTGCTTGAGGCTGGAGAGAAGCCTAGTTTGGCAAGGTTGGACATGATGAGGAAATTTGTCTTGGTTGATTAATGGAGCAAGGCCTTGTGGAAAGAAATTAAGCTTTAGCCAAATATTTAAGGAAGCTATACAGATTCTTGCTTCGACTTTTATCAATCCTGTCTCCAGGCACAGAAGTGTATTTGAGACACAACGCTGCATCTGGAGAATTGCTCTAATAAACTTGGATTGAACTCTTCCCAATGGTGTGAAGCACAAAGCTGAGAATCCAAGCAAGAGAATCCTGTAGAGAAGCTATGCTAGTGACTTGGCCAGAAAGAGCTTAACTGTGACTGGAACATAGTGTCCTCCCTTTGTGTGTAAAAAATTGAGAATGGTGTTTGCTGATCTTTGGCCAGAGACAGCCGCATATTCTCCATGTGCTTTTCTTGAGCCAGTGGTATGGCTGACCACTCCTAGGTACTTAGGATGGTTACCTGCTCTATATTATGTCCATTAAGATACCATGAGTAGAGTTTTGGCCTTTTTGCAAAAGCCATAACATTAGTTTTCTTGTAATTTATGTCCAGTTTATCGCAATTGCAATACTGGATGAGGGCTCACAAGGCTCTTTTAAGGCCTATTGGTGTCCTGGAGAGGATCACAGAGTCATCTCCATAGAGCAGTAGGACGATGCTTCGGTCACCTATTTTTTGGGGGTGGTAGTTTGGTTTATTTATTTATATTGCAGAAGTATGCAAGCTTCGTTTTGCCAAGGGCCATATTAGAATACTAAATATTACAATACCTAGACTGGGAGTAACATTCCTCAAAGTGATAGGGGCAGAATAACAACTTTGATTTTAAGTAATCTATGCTTAAATTATATTTATCAAGTCAATGTTTTTTATGTATTTAATTTAAAAATTATATCATTCTTTCCCAGTAGAAAATTTGTGATAAACATGGAGGAGGCTCTGGAGACATCATCCACTGCTTTGTGGGTAGAACAAATTCTGAATGTCCAAGTTATATATCCTAATTAACCATGCGATTGGAAGTAAACAGCATGACTCTTTGTTAGATTTTTTGTTTGTTTGTTTGTTTTGTTTGTAGGGAGAGTTCCCCCTCCCCCCCAAAAAGATTGAAATCCTTGTATGTTTATTCAATCTTTGCAGTCATAAATAATGACTGATATGAACGATTAAAACAGGATAAGTTACCATTGGTCAACAATCCAAGATCCAGGTACTAGATGTATAATATTAATGTTCTGTAAGTTTCATTGATTCCCCATTTGGCTCCAGATTAAAATAAAGATACTTGTTCATGTCTTTAATAGCTTTGTAGATAATGGTTTCCTTATGCAGAAAAGAGTAGCTGCCCCCACATTCATTCATTCATTCATTCATACAACATCATAACATTGTTAGCGTCTGTGGTTATAGCCTGTATGTTTAATTTGTAGCGTGCCCATTGAATAGGTAATTATAAATATAATAAACACTATCTCTTATTATAATCAGTTTCATAATAACTAAGACTAAATATTCTCTTCTTTCCTCTCCCACCAATAATTTTAGTTCTTTGGGTGGATTATAAAGGTAAAAACATTAAAAATGCAAGAACTGTAAACAAGAAAAACATAAACATTTTCATAATATATTATGAAATATATAAATATATAAAGTATGAACATTTTGAATAAAAATCTACTTCTAAAAGCACATTAAAAAAAATCAGAAAAGTATATTTTGGCCATTTAAGTAAACACCATATTACCAACCTTGTTTCAATTCTTTTTCTCCAGCTAATAAATGTTGAATAAATTCTTATGATATCATTTGCTTAACTATTATTTATATCTGAGTATTCTAAATTCCTGCTAAAGGTGGGCAATGCTGAAAGGAAACTAAACCATTCAACCATGTGATGAAAGAATTCCTTAATTAAAGAAAGTTAATTGTTTTTTAATTAAAGTAGCATAAGGGCATTCAATGTTGATGAAAATTATGAACAACAATTTTTCATCGCTTTGAGATAAGGAATGTGTTGATTTTTTTCGAGGAATTATGTTTCTATGAGAAATTTCACTTTGAAGAATGTCTGTGGAGATTCTCAGTCATCCAGGTCATAGTTGTCTCAAAGGTGCTTTTTCAAAGGCAACTGGACTGTTTTTTTCCTAAGGAAGAAGAAGATATTTCATTTCTCATCCAAGAAGCTTCATCAATTCTGACAGGATTAGTTCTGACAGGATGGTGGTGGTGGTGGAAGGATGATATTTCTTTGCAGTTATCTAATCGTTAGCCCTCTCCCTGAGAACTCTTGAGGCCACTTGGGGGTTTATCTGTGCCCTCAGGGTCACCTGTATCAGAGTGCAAATGGGGGTGAAATCTTCTTGGAACTGCTGCAAGAGCTGCATTGTAGACAGGAGATAGGTGGTGTCGTATCCATCCCCCCTTGTTGAGAGAAGCTGCTCAGTGTTAACATTAATGGCCTCTCTTAACAGAGGTCATTTATGTTAACATTGGGCAGTGTCTTTCAACAGAAACCCCCCCAAGTGGCGTCAAGACTTCAAGAGAGTGCTAATGACCAGATGACTGCCAAAAAATCCTCCCACTCCCCTCCCATCCTGACACAACTAATCCTTTCATCGCCCCCACTATCCTGCCAGAACTGTTGAAGCTTCTTGGATGAGAAGTGAAACATCTTCTTCCTTAGGGAAAAATAGTCCAGTTGCCTTTTGAAAAAGCACCATTGAGTTCACTTTGAAGAATTGTTCTTCCAAGTTTTCATCCTATATAGAAAGATGCTTCAAGCCTGTTTTGCACTGAGCATGCAAGTATGAGTTGATATTTCAAAAACATGTACAACTAATCCTTGAGTTATGACTGTAATGGAGCCTGCCCATTATGATTCTAAGCTGTAATGGTCATAAAGTCAAGTCATAAAGTCTGTCAAGTGATTGACCCAATTTTATTTTTTTGTGGCAGCCAATAGCCACATTGAAGAAATCACCCTAACCAAGGACAATATTTTAAAAACAGTCCTTTCATTTTATTTATCAAAGCTTAGGAGGCTTTCTCTGTTCTTTCCCACAACCAATAAATGCTTTAAATTGTTGCTCAGAAAAACCATACATTTCAGCCTTCACCCAGCCCTATTGTAGATCCACTGGAATGAGAAATTCAGTTGCAAGCAAAAATTAACAAATCTTTCCAAGACAATAAAGAGAAAGTGCAAGTTATATTTTCTATCAATTGCTTCTTTTATAATTTGAAAATTATGCTCTTTGACTCTTTCTCTGATATTCAAAGGCACTTGTGATGGAAAAAGGATGTGATGTTCTGCCTGTGATTCATGTTTGAATTTATAATGTAGACTTCAGAATCCATAATTGTTTTCCAAAAACTTGGGAAGTTTTATTTTCAATAGGAAGCAGAACATTAGTTTTAAAAATAAAGAATAACCAAGATTATAACAGCTTTCATTCCACAGTGCTCTTTTGTTGATTTCTTTTAGAATAATGTTTCATATATGTTAGCAACCTATAATTGCTAACAACCAGTAAGGGCCCTAAACGTGCTTATTAAGAAAGAGAGAAAAAAAACCTAAGCAAAACTTCACTTTTGAAAGAACTATATAAATTCTAAGATCAAATAAAAGGAAAGGTTAATTATTGTTGAAGGGTACATGGAAATGCTTGTGATCTGTATTTCCTTTCAGCTAAACAAAACAAATTCTGGTAGAAGTGATGATAAAAAGGCTAATAAAGGTACAAGCAAGAATGAATCAACATCAGAAGGTGGTAAAACGGCTGTGGTGTTTTCTTTAAAAAATGAAGTTGGTGGCTTGGTAAAAGCTCTCAGACTTTTCCAGGTAAAAATTATATTACTATTTATTTTCATAATAATATATTGATTGAAAAATGTGCATCATTTTTGTATAAAAGATAATATGCATGTTATGTCTACTAAATTGCAAGACACTAGATTCACTTACCACATCACTGATCAGTAAGTTAGCTGAGTTCAGACATTGTGCTTGGCTATATCCATAATTTATTATCCAAAATGGCTTGATTTGCACAAGATGAACAATTAAAGTCAAGCAAACCACATTACAGCATAAAGTGAAGCTAATAATTTTATGGTATATTAACTGCTAATCAGAATCTTGCTTCTGACATGCTAGAAATAATTGTTTATTATTAGTTGGCTTAGTCTATACTTTCAGTTTTCTGAAATAATATATTTCAATCTTAATAATAATTTTGGAATTATTAATATCCTTGATACCTAGATTGGTAGCAATAGCTAGAAATATTTTCTGTTAGCTCCAACTCCAGCTAACAGACCTACTTAGAACATTCAGTCCTGTCTTCCTCCATTCTTGCTTTAGTTATACTTGTTTCAACTACTGCAATTTGCTTTATATCACATGAAGATAAATTTTAGAAGTTGGAATATTTTAAGATTAGCTCTTATGTATTTAACTTTATTGCCTAATTATTTATTTCTGCATTCAGTTTAAAAAACTGGCTTAATCAGTTTAAACAATCATTAGTACCCTGAAGTCTACATCAAATGCCATACCTAAATGTAAATTTCTCTGGAATAAATTCAAGAAATTCATAATTGCAATTTAGGGTTGCCAGTTCCACTATTTGATTTGCAAGGGCTGTTTTAAAAAAACATTAGGCTTTGACAAAGTTATAAATCTAGCCAGTGTTATGCATCTGAACTATCCTGCTATATATTGTAATGTTTTACTAAAGTAAAGTATTACTAAAGTATTTCAGTATTTAGATAATGAAAAGTAGTAAGTCTTGTGTTGATGGGGATTTCTATGCTGTGGAATTTTTGTTATGCATTTGGCCTTCTGCTTTGGGAAGGTTAATTTATAGATGACAGACCGATGCTAGTGTATCACCAAACTATTTCATTTTTTTTCCTATTATGCTTCTCATAAATTTGGTATGGAACTAATAGCATCTCTAGTATATATAAATGATGGTTTTATATGAAATTGCTATGGTAAATCAATATTAAATTTTAATTATCCTAAGGTATTCATAGTTTTTACCATGGAGGTTTATAATAAAAGAGTGAATACAATCATAATTTTATAGTAGTTTATTTCTGGCTAATGCACAAATAATTAATTTCTTTTAATGTAAATACCTGAATATCTATTCTAAACTACCACCTGTTAAGACCGAGGCATTTAATTACTGCTTTTCCATTTGCAGTAGGTTAACTCTTTTTTGCATCTATTTTCAGGAGAAGCATGTGAGTATGGTTCATATTGAATCCAGAAAATCGAAGCGAAGGAATTCAGAGGTAGAAATTTTTGTGGATTGCGACTGCACCAAGAAAGAATTCAATGAGCTCATTCAGCTGTTAAAGTATGAAACAAACATTGTGACTCTGAATCCCCCAGAAAACATCTGGACTGACGAGGAAGGCAAGACTATTGTTTTTTTTCCCCCTCATCTGTTTTCTCTCATTTTATTATGAAATCAGCCCAATTGTATGAAGATGCAGAGAAAGAATGTCTGATTCCGTTCCATCTCTGTTTTTTTCAGAGCTGGACTGTGTGCCTTGGTTTCCCCGGAAGATTGCTGAATTAGATAAATGTTCGCAGAGAGTTCTCATGTATGGCTCCGAACTGGATGCAGATCACCCTGTAAGTGTTTAGGGAAGATCCACAGAGACTGACCAAATAATCTATTAATAATATAGCAAATAATTTAAATGAATGAATGAAATGCATTATGTATCTTAAGCTATTTTGGTCCAATCTATTTCTTAAACACAGATCTCACATTTTAATTGGTCTTCAGATGTATTTCTGTTTTAGGAGCTGCTACCAGGAACATTCATATGTCAGATTTAGATTGTGGATTGCAGTTTCTGTTTCAGAAGTACACTGGAGAACTTTGAGAGGCAATTTTCATCTCTCTCCCTTGCAAACAATGCAAGAGTTATAGTTCAAATCATAGTGATATTTACGTACAGTGCTGTATGAGCTTTTAAAACATATAGATATTAAATTAACATTCCAGGGAGCGTGGGAGGCATGCTAATACTCCAGGAGATAATTATAAAGTAGAAATCATGGCATACTCCAGCAGGAATGCAGCTGGAACATAGGGTCCTTGTGTTTTTACCTCCTTATTTTTAATACAGTGGCCCCATTTCAGCCCATATATCACTGTCTGCAGCCCCACATAGTGCCTGAAACCATTGCATCCAAAATTTAAGGAAATTAACTTACTGATACCGTTTGTGTTGCTTTCATTCTTTCCTTTGCTCACTCCTCTCAGATTAAAGTCTTTTACTAAATCTTGTAACTCCTAAATCATTCAATAGTAGAGATATAATGCTGTATATTATGTAAAGCACACAGGAACTTACTCTGCAACTATCACTATCCCTACCCTCATTCCCTTTTCTTCATGGAATTATGCTAGAGGTGAGAGTAGTTTCATTCCAGTACTGGGTATTTCACACATAGGCATTTAGTAGTATTTTGGAAATTTGAGGAAGGTGTGTCATATTTTCTCTGGGAACTTCTCCTGCTATCACAATCATCCAGATCACGGTTGTCCAAAGGTGCTTTTTCCAAATGGCAAGTAGACTTTCTTTGCTTTTTCCCCTTGAAAATGTTTCACTTCTCATCCAAGAAGTTTCTTTAGTTCTTAGTTTTTAGAACTGAAGAAGCTTCTTGGATGAGAAGTGAAATGTTTTCAAAGAAAAAACCAAGAATGTCCAGTTGCCTTTTTTGGAAAAAGTAATGGGAATTTGTGCCCATGACCGATTAGTTCCTTCAGGGAATGTTGGGATGTTCTATGCAGTAAGACTACAATACTTTGGATTTTGTTATCCCAAAGGTGTTTTTCGGAAGGCAACTGGGCTTCCTTGAAGACCAATCAGATATTTAATGCTCTGGAACCCAAGCTCAATGGTTTATACACCTCAGCATTGTTTTTTGAGGATAAGACCTCTAAAAGGCTTGGCCTTTTTTTTAATGAAATAAAGTAAGATGCAAGGGGCTTCAAGATTGTCTTATGATCCAAAGAAAGTTAAAGTCCACTTGATTATTTCCAATCAGTAAATAGATGAAAGATATCAGGTTCTACATTCCTTTGTTCCATCTCCACCCAATGTCTATGGAGATTCTCATTATCCAGGTCATGGTTGTCCCAAAGATGCTTTTCCAAATGGCAACTGCACTTTCTTGGGGGGGGGGGGAGGCTCTTCCTTGAAAATGTTTCACTTCTCATCCAAGAAGCTTTTTCATTTCTTTGTTTTTAGAACTGAAGAGGCTTCCTGGATGAGAAGCAAAATGTTTTCAGGAAAAAAAAACTGAAAACAGAAAATCCAACTGCCCTTTGGAAAAGCAAGTTTGGGATATTTTCACCCAAAATCCATGGGAGACAGAATAGGCAAAGATAGTAGCAGGTTTTGCTCCAGTTCCACCTGCGACAGGATGATCTTTTAGTATTTGTGAGAGGATTTGAGGCTGAGACCGGTAGAGGAAAGATTCCTTCAATAAAAGCCCTATTAGTTAATTATTAATGTTGCTTATTTTGATTTTGTCAATTTACTCAGATATGATTCTAAGAGGTCTTGGTAAGATTTGAAGGTTGAAAGACAAGTTAATTCTAACAATAAGTAAATAATACAATGAGAAAAAAGCTCTACTTAATGGATACTTGTAATTGTAGATATAGAAAAGATGGAGCAGATTTTGGAAGATAAATCTTAAACATAGCTAAAAGGCTTCAATTTGGAAAACATTTTTACTTCTTGGATATAGGTAAACTGCTGTTAGCTCTGAAGGTAGTATGAATGAGAATGTTCATAAGTATTTAAAACTTGGATGATTTATTTAACCCACTTTTCTATCACTGCCTCTTTGGTATAAATTAATTATTTTTATTTGCTTCAGGGATTTAAGGACAATGTTTACCGACAGAGAAGAAAATATTTTGTAGATGTTGCCATGAGTTATAAATAGTGAGTACTCAATATTTTTAAACTTTCAATTTTAAAGTCTTTCTCCTCAAATACAAGAAAGATATGCAGCCCTCTTTTTCTTGAATATAAAATTTGAAATAGGCAGATGGTGATCATTAAGCTGTAACTATTTATATTACCAAACTGGCATGAGGAACACAAAGTGAAGTTTACTTGGATTGAGTTTTGGAACACATCAGTATTAGTCCATCCAACTTTGTTTTGGTTCCATAAATTGGCCATTTTTTTCTAGCCCAAATTGGATTGAAATTAGGATTTCTGCATGCAAAATGTAAGTACTATCTCTGAGTTCTGGAACTACAGTTCTTTTCCATTGTGCTTCTGGCCATGACAGCATGCATTTACGGCAATGGCTCAAGAAACTGGACAGCTGGGTTGCATTGAACTGAAATAGTTATTCATGATATGAGTAACAGTAGACCAATTGACTTGATCATTATATCTAAGGATTAAAAGAGATAGAGGTATCTGGAGCAAATGCAGCTTTCATTAGAATGCTGATGCAGGTAATCCTTCTTCAGTGACTGTCTTATTCAGTAGCCATTCAAAATCACAATGAAAAATACCTTTGTGGCCAGTTGCCAGCCAATTGTGGTCACTAAATAAGGACTACCTGAACATGTGTTATGATGTCATAATGCAAGGAGCCAAATTTGTATTATGATATGGTGATACATGCTTTGTCACTTGCCCTCTGTGCCTCCTCAGAGATGCCTATAAAAGGGGACTCTGATTCTTTGTTCAACAGATAGAAAAGTTGTAATGGGTGGATTGGCATTCTCCAGGGAGAGTTTAGCTGCATATGAAGGTTCATGTCTGCTAGTCATCCCTTTTCTGAACAGAGCAGAGCACTAGCTATTGAGAGAGGGTGGACTGCCTCTTGCTTTTCCTTATATGAGTAGATGAATTAATTAATTAATTTTTCTCTTTGATATAGCTGTCCACCTCACACATGGGGCTCATTTGCTTGGTAGTAAGGGATGTTGCCTGTTCTTTGGGTGCTTGAGTCCCAAGAAAAATAGCTATAATTGTGCTTTACCCAGTTTGGATTTCTTGCAGACCTATAGACATTAACTATTAAGTTCCCCAACTACTATGGCAATTGCTGAAAACAGTTCTGTGTCAGAAAACATTCTGGAAATTGAAGCATAGTCTTGAAAAGGGTTGGATTGGGGAGACTGACTATATGTTTTGAGAAGACAGATCTTGTCAAGCATTTCTTTACATTTATGGTCTCCCAAAGGCTTTTTCTTCATGCCATATGCTCTGCCATCAGATTGATGGGCTCCTAGGAAAGGATTTATATAAGATGTGCTTGCTTGCTTCCTTATTTAATTACATATATTTCCTATAATAATTTCCCCACTAGCAACATACAGCAGTTTCTAGAGTCATCCAACCTTTTCTTGTGCCAAAACAGCAGTAATGAAGACAGGCACTATATCATATCAATAATGGCTAGGCGGATGGTATGAAAATACTATAAGTCATCAGTGAGGAAATGGTATGCATTTATATACATTGCCTAGTAGCAATAAATGACTAAAAAAACCCCAAAAAGCAAAATATAATATTAAAAAAGAATGATCATAAAACTCTAAATGGCAGCATGGAATTGCAGTAAGGAGAGAAAAATAAAACACAGGAAAACATAAACCTTGGGAATGTTTTCAGGGAATTTATCTAAGGCTATGGATATGTCAGTGGTGGTGAATCTGTGGCATGGGTGCCAGAGGTGGCACTCGGAGCCCTCTCTGTGGGCACACGTGCCATTGCCCCAGCCTCGCCTTCCCCCATGACCCCCTCCTCTCCAGCAGCCCCCTGAAGGAGAGTTGCCCCTGAGTGTGGCCCATGCAGAGTAGCGCAGCCAAGGACATGGCAGCCAGGCAGCGTAGACAACACTCTGCCCTCACACCCCATCATGCACAATTGATGCTGCAGGGCACGGGCATAGGGCGTGACCGCCATAGCACTGCTGGGCTGCCTGGCGATCTGCAGCGGGCCCTGGAGGCGGTGAGTGGCCCTGCAGGCAGGCGTGGTGGAGGATGGGGGGTAGAGCGGGGGCGGGGCAGGGGGTGGAGCGGGAATGGGGCCAGTTTTGGGGCACTCGGTCTCTAAAAGGTTCGCCATCACTGGGATATGTTGTGATTGGCTGCATAGTTATCAGATAGATATTCCACCCATCACAATGCTATGAGTGGAACAGGAGAAATTGGGAGCACTGTTTTAATTGGTATATTTTAACATGTGTCATGTGCAAATTAAGCTGTCATAAGTGTCACAGACAGCTCTGAAGAAATGGAGGATTGAGACCAGGAATTGCTAAACTTTTGATTTTTTAGACACCCTGATATATCACTATCCAAATGTCTGTTAAACCAGTGGTTCTTAATCTTTTTGAACGAATTGGCCCCTTGAGCCAATGAGGAAGTTGTCATCGCCCCCCTCCCCCAACATAACCTCTCAATCACAGCATAGGAAATAATTCTTCAATTTATGAAAACACTTTTTTTGTTTTCTTTAAAATTATCATCAGGACATATGATGCAAATAATTTATTTCCAGTCTTTTTCCCATATCTCAACTGTGTGAAAAATTTTGGTGCCACCCGTCACTTTATTCCCAAACTTCGTGATACATGTATTTCATTATTATCTTATTTATTCAAGACACTTAAATGTAATGACCACTGAAAACAAAATTCAATTGCAAGAAAGTGAAATGCCCGAAAAGAAAAACAGTAACATTTAATGATTGAATTACAAGTGAGATTTAAGACGCAAAAAGAAATATAAAAAGGGCATAAGAACAAACCGCAATGCAGGAACTAAGAATTTCAAGACGAAAACTCTGAAACTAAATTAAGATTCGAGGAAAGTATATATAGTCACACACACTGTATAAAGAATTAAAAAGACACAAAGAAAATATAATATCGAACTGGAGTGCACACTAAAAAAGTACAATACAAAGAGACACACAAAACAACATGCGATGTTTTGAAAGAAGTGCTCCCCCCTCCATCACTGCCCATTCTGGCCAATGGCATGCCACTGTATGGGTAGAGCAGGGGTAAGCAACCCCAAACACTCAAAGAGCCACCATTTCCCACCGAAAACAAAACACTGGGAGCCGCAAAACCCTTTTGACATCTAAAATGAAGATAACACTGCATATATCCTTTTTTACCTTTATTATATATATATATCTTCAGTGTTATCTTCATTTTAGATATCAAAAGGGTCTCTCTCTCTCTTTCTCTTTCTCTCCCCCTCCCTCCCTCTCTCTCCCTCTTTCTGCCCTTGGTCTGCCAGTCCTCTTCCTCCACTCACTGTGTGTGTGTGTGTGTGTGTGTGTGTGTGTGAGAGAGAGAGAGAGAGAGAGAGAGAGAGGCACTTGCACTTCCTCTCTCTCTCTTTCCTCTCTCTTTTTCTCTTTCCTCTCCCTCCCTCCCCCCTTCTTTCTCCAGGTGGAGAGAGAGAGAGAGAGAGAGAGAGAGAGAGAGAGAGAGAGAGAGAGAATGAAAGTCAGAGGGCACTGGAGGGGCAGGGAGGGGGGCAGGAGGCAGCAGAAGACTCCCTGTCACCACTGGAGGCACCCAGCTCCACTGCCTGCCAGGCCTCTGGGGACGTCCTGGCTCACGGTCACATTGGCAGGCCATCCCACTTGCCGCTGGCATCCCTGAGCTCAAGTCGGGGCCACAGGGCATCTGAAGAATGCCCTGTCTATCGGCTGCATTGCTAAGCCTCCCCTCACGCCGCTGGCATCCCCAGGCTTATGTCACAAGGCATCCATGAAATGCCCCCATCATCTGCATTGCCAAACCTTTTCCCGCACTGCTGGTGTCCTCAGTCGGAACCAGGGCAATGATCCACCTCCTGCCAGGACCAACGCTGAAGCCTCCCGTGCTGCCGGTAGGTCCGTCATGCTGGAGGAGCTGGGGCCACTCTGCACTGCGCGGTGCTCCCGGTGATCCATGACCCACCAGCATTGCCCAGGGAGTGATGCCCCTGCTGGCCACTGCCCCAGCTGGAAGGAGGAAGAAGGGAGGAGGAGGAGGGAAAGGAAGCCGGCGCTGGGCCCCAGAAGGAGGTGCTCCCATGGGTATGGCCAGGACTCTTCTGCTGCTGGTTGAAAAATGTCTCCTCCTCCCTTTCTCTCTCCCCCATCTTCTGCTCACCTCACATTCTTCGCCAACAAAGCAGCCGGGATTCCAGCGCGCCTTCCCGGCCAGCTGGACCAACAGTCCTACGGCTGGGGATTGCAGGGGCTGCTCTCCCTTGGGGCCGTGGCTTGCAGGAAAGCTGGCCTGCTCAGCTGAGGCTCTGGCATGCTGCTTCCATCGGGGATCTCAGGGCTTCCCTGTGTGGTTCCCCGGCCACGCGCACCTCAGATGGGGCCAGCCAGGGAAAGGGACTTCCTGGCTGCGCTTCTCCCAAGGGGCGGGGCACCCGGGTGCAGGGCCAATCAGGAGCCCTGCGAGGGGGTAAATGAGAGAGAGAGAGAGAGAGAGAGAGAGAGAGAGAGAGAGAGAGGGAAGCACAAGTGCCTCTATCTGTCTCTGTCTCTCTCTGCAAATAGTGGAGGAAGCTCGGAGCTGCAAGGGAAGGTTTAAAAGTGTCCCCAAAACTTCTCACTCCATCGCCCCCATATCACCCCCTTTTCATTCCATCGCCCCCCTGAAAAATGAAATCGCCCCCGGGGGGGGGGCGATATCACCCAGGTTAAGAACCACTGTGTTAAACCATTTGCCATTTGGGGCATGCTTAAGAGTACTCTCTATGCTGGACTTCTTTGCAATGATTTAGCAGTGATATTCTTACTGCCCCACCCAGTTCTGATCTTTCTGTCATGTACTGATTACTCTTCCACTGCATATGTGTTGATCTTCATAACACCTTCCTTCCCTCCTTCCTGTTACTCCATTCCTTGATCTTTCTACTACTTATCTGTCAACTTTTGAAATATTTTTCCATCTC